GAAAACACTCTTAGGACTATCATTTCTATCTGTCCGACTGTAGCTAGCAGCTGCACAATGCAATTGAACTAACCTGCACTTTTTTCTAAGTGTGTAGTCACGTCAGTGGTAGGTACAGGTTTGTGGACACTAGTACGCGCACATATGGTAAAAGGAGAAAAGCCTATTCGTTGTATGGATTGTATGTTTCTTTTATTAGTACAATTAAATTAATCAATGGGTTTTATCGAACAAAACTTAATACTGTAAATAATTACCTATGTAGCTAGAATTGTTTTTCAATTTAATGTCTGTTTATCACATGCGATGTGATTTCTGTGGAATGCTTTTTTTCACAGCGTATAATAGTAAAATAAATAATGTGCATTGTTTTAATATATTGAACATGTCTATCAAATAACTGAATTTTTATTGTAATGTTGGTGTCATACTCCTCGCATTAGCCGGCTAATGGTATAGGAAAAAATCTGACAAGCTTTAGTGTTGCTTATCTAAACGGTTTCTACTGACTGTCAGAATTCTGCCAGTGTTGCCATTTAAATCAATATATCTTTATATTACTGTTAGTAGATCCTATTATGAAAACGGCAACATTGAACCAAAAAGACAAAATACCAATGCCGCTAAATTGCTGCTACAATATTTCCAAACGTTATAAAACTGTCATAACTAACACATTTGCATTTTGGTAAATCTCGTGATATCGACAACATAAGTTTTATTGTCCCCTAAACAAGATCAATTACGCTGATTTTGCTAAGAGTCGAACTTTGATTTCGTTTGTAAAAAAATAAATCTGAAATTAAGCCAGTGTCCCTGCGGCTTTGACTCGCGCAATCAAACCAATGCAGTAGGTACGGGAAAAAGTGAATTCTGAGCTGAGAGAGCTGAGGTAGTATGGACTGAACAATACTGAACAATACAGCTGAACTAAATAAGATATTAAAAAACTTGTCGATCACCTTTTCGCTAATTCCAGATATGTTATTAACTCAATATCCCTCGAATTGTCGATTATACTTATGGTAAGGATGTAGATAAGAGGGTAGGTATTTCAACTACTTTTTAGCCTTAGCGCCATCTATGAGACATCTAAGATAGTATTTCGTCACCCAGTTAGATATCTTTACAGCTATCAGTTTCGGTCAGTGTAGGTAGTTAAAAAAATAGGGTAAAAGCAGACTAGTTATATGGTGGCTCTAATCAATGTGAAGAGTCCAGGGTAAGAATGATTAAAGTCACCTGAGGAGACTTGAGTACAAAAGAATTTTTAATTTGGAGAACTTTTAAATGTTCGTAAAAAAGACGCGCACAAATTTTAATACTACCTGAAATAAAGTCAATGCTGACATAAATGTACCGCTATCTATTTTTACTACAAAACGTTTAAATATAATTTTTTAATACAGTTGCTCAAAATGTGGCATTTTTCTTACTACAAATCGTGCCGAAAGCTGGATTTTTCGCACTAGTGCTTTTTACTTTACCATTTTTTTTTAATTTACTGTTGTTTCAAATCTTAAACATAGAACTAAATAGGTTGTATATTTATTTAATATTTATGTGCTTTGTGACGTAAGTCATTCGTCATTAAAACTTATATTTACTATATATAACTATTTCACTTATTTTTTTATTATTCAGTTGCTAGCAATTTTATGACTAAAAGTAAAAGGTAATTTTTCACGACATTGAACCTTATTAGCCTTTTTGTGTTCTATGCAAAATACGCTCAGCTTTTACCGAACTGAATGGCGATATTAACTCAAAACATGTTATAAGTGACTTTGATAATTCTTTCCCTGGTCTCTTTATGTGATATTATAATAATAATAAGTGTCACAAGTGTTGGATACAACCAGAAACGATTCAGCACATTACAGGAGCATGCACAGCACTTGCACAAACAGACTACACTGATAGACACAACCAAGTAGCAAACGTCATCGAAACTGGCACTCAGATACGCACACGTACAAGACACAAGCACTTCTTACTACAAATACACAACACAAACTCTATTACGACCGTGCCATTCTCACGGACAGGACAATTCATTTTAATAGACCAGATGTAACTCTACAAGATAAAATAAATAAAATTACTTACCTAATAGACATTGCAGTTCCCAACACATATAACATACAGAAGACTATAAATGAAAAAATAAGTATATATGCAGATCTAAAGGATGAAGTGTCTAGAATTTGGCGTCAAGAAAAGGTATATGTTATCCCATTTGTTCTTTCCACAACAGGCATTATTCCTAATCATCTTCTCCATAAATCATTAGGGTGTAAAGAAAGCCTCTACATAACCCGGCAAAAAGCTGCAATTTTAAATACCTACATGCCACATCGTCAGAAAGTTCATGCAGATGGAAGAGGACGAAGTAGGATCTTATTACGCACCCACCACATACTCGTAGATACACGCCATACTGCATTTACGTACTTGACTTAGGTCCGTAAATGTGGTTCAAACCAGCTAAAAAGCAGAAGACTAAAGTAAATAATAACAATAATAACGCACACACTCAACATAGCCCCGCACTAGGGAAACCCTGTGTCACGGGTGCCATGGACACACACATAGACAACCACAAATTACACCCAAACTCACTAGAGAAATAAATGTGGGCCATATACATATTCTCCCCGCCTGGGAATCGAACCCAGGACCTCTGCATGGTAACCGTTCGGCCACGGAGGCAGTGATATTGATGTTCATATTTGCATTTTTAACGGAACAAATTAAAATTAGGTCATAAAAATTGGTAACGAGGGCAGAAATAAAATTTCTCAGCCATTAGTGCTAATTTCGGGTTTACCCCGTGAGTAAAAATAAAATAAACATAATATTTTTGTTTACTTTTTAATATACTTTTGGGTTTTGGCACAATTTTTAAATAATGTGTCCTGGTTTATACTAGATATTACAACGTAAACTACCCCTACTTATACATTTGAAATATTTTCGAATGCTAAGTGATGATTTGTAGTAATAATATCAACAAATTAAGTAAATCTCAATGAAAAATAAAGAGGGCTGATTTTTCAAAATGTCACATCTGACAGTGGAACTTATTCAAATGCATTAAGCTCTATTTTATCGGTTATCAATTTCTAAAAAACATTATATACGATAAAGTACATACAAATTATCTGTTACTGTCACCATGGAGTGAATCTGAATTGTATATAATCTTTGAGGCGGAAGAAAAAATAGCTTAATTTTGACGGTACCTATACCTTTTTTCCCTACTTTTAATTAGTAAAATGATATCTACGGATGCTACATCTATTATTTACGGTAACCTAACACAAACTCAAATTTATTTTTTCCGAAATAACGTTTGTTCGAATTTTCATTACCCCGAAAACCGAATTGTAACGAAACCGTTGTTCTTTCAGGATATTATGTTGGATGTTTGTCGCAAAGACACGATTAGGTTCGATTAGGTTAGATTAAGTTAGGTTTAAAAGAATAAACATTTTCCTCTCAAAATTATTGAAAATTCGAGCAAACTTTTTTCTGGAAAATGTAATTTCGGACTTCTGATAGGTAACCATTATTTTCATTTTATTTAATTGCTTTATAATAAGTATTTCTTTTCAAAAATAAAAACCAAAATATTTAAAAATTATTACTGACATTTTCAATTCATGGCTACGTAACCTTTCTTCATATTGAAGTACATCGATTTTAACAGTTTTGTCTCAGAATCGTATGTCGATTTTCAAGAAAACTATTTTCTACAAGTAACGGAAATTGTTATCAAAATTTTTTTTTTCAACTAGGAGCATTACAGAATCAGCCCTCATTAATGGAAAAAATATAAAACTCTAACAACATTTTGTAATATTCTCAATATTTATAAGTACACAAAAGTAAGTCTTACTTGCATTATTATAGCTTCTGTACTTTTTACTATGGCAAGGAAAAAAAAACAAAATAGAAAATTGTATCCGACCGAGATCTATGCGTCATAATTAAAAAAAAAGACAGAATTAAGTATTTAAATAACCACAACTAACGTTACATCAAAAATATCGCATTATTTACAGGAATTCAACATAAAAATAAATAATTTAACGACACTGTCTAAATCCTTACACATTTACTAAGGATGATACACATTACTTAATATTATTAAACATTAATAATCCACGTAGACATTAATTTACTCTTATTCTAACGCTACATTTCAAGTCAAATGTTACTGGCATACAATACAACTTACAAGAGAGAAAGAAAAAACTAAAACAAAACAAATATAATTAGAAAAATAAATAACAAAATTAAAAAATGGCAATTAATGTCAAACAACCACGATTTTTCGATACTAAGAAATATTCTATACAATTTCTATTTACTTATTATTTATAAGACGAGATTATATGCTTGTACCGACTAAAGTATCCTTCTCTGATTATCTTTCTAAACTTGAAACTAATTCATCAAATATAGAACTTCACTGCTGTCCCATTACTTTTTCTTTTATTAATAAAATAAGTGTGCATTTAACCTCCTTCTCACCTGACGATAAGGTCGACGATAGAGCATGCATACCTATAAAATGCCTATTCACTCTCTGCAGTATCTTTTTATGTTAAAGTTACCTTTAGATCCTCTAATAGCGGTCATAGTATTTGCTTTGACAGCAATGCCCGGGCCACCAGAATTCTCTACAATTCTGCAACAACGTAAAGGGAGTTGCCTTTTTTCAAAGGACAGCATTATTTTATATTCTTCAAATTAGTTTGCATTCATAAAAGTGATCTTCAGATTTGATACTAATGTATAGCTGAGCTTAAATATTATTTTTCTACTTATATAAATTGCACAATTTGATACCGCGAACAACTAGGTTTTAATGTAAATTTCCACATTTATTACATCGATGGATATATTTTTTTTTATTTGTAAAAAAGTTATGTGTAGCTAGATTACAAATTGACGGACTGTCAATTGACCATGGTTGATATTTGTTTACAAAATGATTTACATTACTGGTATATGTTAATGTCGATTCTTCTTGAAACTATTTTGGAATAAATTACAACATGATTAAATTCATTATTTAATTGAATCAATTACAACGAATTACAGTCACTGCTTGAAATTGTTGCTTGATAGGCATTATGGAAATATGTTACAATATCACCATAAACAACACCTTGTTTTTTTTTCAGTGATGCCCACTGAATAAACTGCTTTTTATTTATCGATAATCGTCCGACATTTTGTTATCAGACATTCTGAAAATACGCTGGCAAACAAAGAGTATATTCCTAACGAAATCAACCAACCAATGTCAATTTATATTTAGTTTTAGACAATAGAATCGACATTTCTTATTATGCGTTTGTTACAAATTTAATGTCACTGATTATTTCTTTACACAGAGTAGGTATATTTTTAAAAAGACTGGCTTAATAAGTGAACCAGCTAATAGACAAAATTATTTCTATTACAAATCTCTACTATAGTCTATGAGTATTTATTTATTACAATAATTATGCATTAGGTATATAGATATCACTGGATTTTAACAAAACAGTTCACGTGTTCAAAACACTTAAATTTTCAAGCATTTCGCTTCAAATTTTTGGTTTGATACATTTTTAGTAGCTTACAATTAAAGGAGCATCTACAAAATACACTAAAGGTCAAAACACAGTTACCAGCATCCATCAGCAAAGACTTCAATGCGACCATGATTATTATTTAGAATCGAGGTGCTGATGTGTGATCCATAATGTGGTTTGACCCTTAAACTTCGTACTAACATTTACACATGGCCACACAAGTTTTAAATATTTAAAGTGCCTTAATTTTAACTCTAATCTCCAAACCTTATACATAAGACATTAGCCCAGACTACACTTGTTCATATTACCTATTTATCTACAAAAAGGGAATTGTACTTATTTACATTAAAAAATACCAGATACAACTAGTAAAATCCAGTTTTAAATAATAATATTATGACGTAATAGCCTATTTTATATACACTTTTCTAATTTTCTACTTGGTTTAATACACTTTTGGCACTATTGTTTTTTGCTTATTCGAAGAAGATAATGTGCCAAAACTACTTTAAAACATTTATTAGATAGGGATTTTGGGGTAAAAAGGCGTCTATGGGATAATATCATCTTCTGGCAAATTTGATAAATTTTATTATATTCACAGAAATCTAAATAAATAGGCTCAGATTTCTGTGATTACATATTTACTTAGTACATTTTGTCTTTCAGAAAAACAGTGTAGTAAAGCCCATTCTGGGCAAGCTTTCTTGTGTATTGAAGAAGATAAAATTGCCCTATAGATTTCTAAGTCCCGTTCAACTACAATGTTGAGACATTGGAATCCAATCACAAATTGGATAAGATTTAAAAGTTCTTATTAGAGTCCATTTCTAGGATTTCTTAAATCACTAATGGAATAATCTCGTTCTCATAACAATTCAGTATTTAGAGATCCGATTACGACACTGGTTTTCGTAATAATTGTTACAAATCGTACAGCCGATGAAGCAATACTTGTACGAATTATTGTTCATTTAACATTGCACCTCATAACGTATATAATGTACGCACTAGTACAAATAAACAAAAAAAAATGTTTATCAGAATAAGCAAAGGAAAACTTAACTTTTCAACCTCCAATACTTAATCTAAGTCTTTGAGAATTCAAAAGGTTCTAGTTGCTTCTAGAACTTTACCAAGGGTGGTGGGAAGGGGGAATAGAGAGGGGCGCGGCGTGCGGGTAGGGCCAGCCGCGCGCCGACCCTCAATCGGTCTCTCGAGGCGACAGTGGAGGAGAGAAAGCGGGGTTGCCGTAATTTCCACCATTAGGGGGTGGCGAAGAGTTCGAGGGTCCAGGGGATGATAGAGAAGGGAGAAATCCGAGCTCACTGCTTCCATCTCGGCACCATAACTGCCTCATCTCTTGTCGGCGCGAACGCATCAGGTTTTTGTATTCCGATATCCGCATCTTCTTACCGTCTACTATGCACGTCCGTTTCGGTCTTGGCCGGTACCTGGAATTGTTACAAGATATTGCGTTAAGTCTCGTTTTATCTCTTACTCAGTACCCTGCATTCGCAAAAGGTTGTTTTCGTAATCGGTACTCCGCAAAATTGTAATCTAAATAAGCAGATAACATCAAATCCTGAAAAATGTCCTTTATAAAGTAGGTACAACATACCTACATTATAATAAAGGCATTCTATGAGCCTTTACACACGGCGTATTTTATAAGCGCCGTAACCGCGCGTAATCTGCACGTACCGCAGACGCGCTATAATGAATCGCGTAACATCGCGTTACAAGCAAGAAGCTCATATAGAATTTCATTTAGTTGCTTTATTTAAAAAATTAACTGACATTAATAAACAAAACTAAAATTAAAACTAGTTTGTTATCATTATTAATACGGTGCTTAGTTAAGCATACCGTCTAGCACGGTTTGCTAGAAGGCGTCGGTTCGAATCCGGCCGGATCGAAGGAATTTTTTCTAAATGTTCTATCTTTCTATTAATAATTATAACAAACTAGTGGAATAATTGAATATCAATTCAATACAAATTTAAAATTAGAACTGTCTCTTATCAAAATGCGCGATACATACGCGCGTTTACAGCGCGTCTACGGCGCGTATACGCGCAGATGATGCGCGTTTACGGCGCGTATATTAAAGGCTTTGCATATTAAAGGTGTGTTTTATATGGAGTATCGTCGGCACTCAGTTCTGAAACTTGGTGAGAAGTGAGATCCCTTTTTTGTTCTAAATTACCTGTAATCAGGATGTTTCTCCATGTGCAATTTAGAGAGACGTGACTGCTCTTCATAATACGGTTGTTTTTCAGCATTTGACATGGATTTCCATCTAGCCCCGAGAATCTTCGATATATTCGAATTATGCATATCAGGGCATGCTTTGAGAATCTTACGGCGCTCATCTTTGGCCCAAACCATGAATGCGTTCATTGGTCTCTTGATGTGCGGCTTTCCGGCTTCATCGCGTTTTGTCTGACGGACCATCTTCATCTTGTCCGAGTCTTCTTGTGGTGACTGGCTCCATGATGAGGCTGTGAACAGGAGGAACAGTGTTTTAAAGGACTATTGGCGGTTAAGTGGCTAGGGTAAGATTTAATCATTAATAGCGGTAGCGTAGTTTTATAAATGTCAATGTTGTGTTTTATAGTCGTATATGTGAACTTGGTTATGCGTAGATAGGTATATTGAGAACTAGGGGTTTTGTGCACGTTTTTTACAGCCAAAGGGTAAAGTCGTGCTCTAGGGTAGGTAATTATTTTAAAATCACAATAACATCGTTATGGTAATTGCCCCATTAGTTAAACAATTTGGCTCTGATTAAACCCTGTCCAGTTTAAAGCAAATTTACTTCAAAAGTACGCGGTAAAAGTTTATATTATTAATAAATATTATAATTTATACAAAACTAATCTGACATAAAATGCAGCCGTAAATTTATATCAGATTTCGGTGGTTCAGAGCATTTCTAATGTGGACATAAAAACTGTGAGGCATTTTAGAAATGTTAATATCCCGTCACTTAAAAGAATGTGAGAACTCTATCGAATTTTCGGAAGTCGTTCTAAGCCGTATCGTAAATTGTTACTGCGGAGCTATAAAGCAAACTTAAATTCGGACATTAAGAATGAATGGCCTTCTAGTATTCGGAATAGTGAAGTTGATACTTAGAGCAAAAATAAGAAAATTTGAATTATTTTTTGGCTTAACTACTTAAGTTATTTGTCATATAATAGGACAAAACAGGAAATCTACTACAATTGTATTGTTTCATCATTCAGCCGGTGTAGATTCTGTTCCTCATAAACCCTAGCTTTTGACCTCTTCAAAGGTGCTCAGATAGAAATATGCATATTCCAGGATTTTATATTACTTTTTTTACGACATCAAGTGACGGGATGAACAAGTCGTGCGCCTGGTGGTAAGCGACACGCCAAGCCATGACAGCAGAGCTGTAAATTGCAAAGATCTGAGGGGTACTACGGGTCACGCGCCACATTGACACAAAGTTGATAAAAAAAAGTCCCATATGCCTGTAATTTCACTAGCACTATTACGTGCCTACCCTTCAAAACCGGCACGCAATAATTAACATGCTCCTTGGCAGCAATAATAGGCCTTTGGTGGCAATACTTCCCTAGACAATACTATAAATCTACTTAACTTAACAATATGTATCTAGGTACATTTTTATTATGCACAATAGAATACAGAAAAATACGTAGTTACGTAGGTACATATTTTCAGTTTTTCAGTAATGTAATTTCTATAGAAAATTTGGTCTAAAACTGATTAGTAGATAACTTATTGATGGGATAACCTTATTTGTGAAGGTCATAGAGGCAGAAAATGTTTTTATAGCGTTGAATTCATTAGAAAATATAGTTAAAAAGCCTTAAGATCCGTGTTGATATCTCGGAATGTGACATGGAAATCTTATTAACACTTTTCACGAAGAGTTATTAATACTAAATAAGTAGAATTTTATATACGTCTTGTGAATTATAACTTTTCTATTGCCCGTCTGCCTAATCTAAATGACATCGTCGGTTGAGGTAGTGGCCAAGCGTACCGCTATTTTATATAAAAAAGAAACATATTTTCCTTATTTGTGTTAGTGAGGAGATAATGACTTTTGTTGTGAACTAAATTGTTACAAAATATATTAGTAATTTAAATAAAATATTATATCGCGTGAACACATTAATTCAATCCCAAATGAAACCGACTTACGCAACCAAAACGACTAAAATTGAGTGTTTGAACGTACCCCCTCAAAACATGTAGGTCAAGCAACATCCGCTGTATGCCTGACGGATTCGCGAGCAAGTGTCCGCACAATTAATAAGCGTACGCACGGAAACATCCACAAGATGGCATTCCTCGAATTAATTTGACACGCTGTTAGATAATTTATAACATCCTACGTAGGTTGATTCGCGCGCGATATGCGGTTTCAGAACGCACGGACTATTCTCAACTAAAATCGTTTCATTTCTTCAAGAACCTATTTTTTGTAAAGATAAAATCGCAATGGCTTTAGTTGTTTAATTCGGGTACGATCTATACGATCTAAGGCTCTAAGTGGCACTGCAATTGCATGGACAGGCTTGTCGCTTAACACCTACATGACTTATTCGTCGCGTCACTGGGTATCACAAAAAAATCCAGAATGATAGATAGATTTATCAATTGCCGACTAACGCGATGTTCCAATCAAGCATTTTGTGAAAGCGATTATAAGAAAGTACAGATATAAATAAATGCATTTAATAAAATCTCACTATGGCGGCTTAATATAATTTTATTAGCATCTCACAAGACACGGCTCCTCGAAAAGTCTGTTTTATAGCCCATTACTATAACGTTAAGTATGTCGATTAAATATGAATAAATTATTAGCAATAAAATAATGATGAGTTAATTAATTATATTTTGAAAACGTTCGCCGTTAAGGCTAATTTGCTTACAATGTGATCTTGGTCTTAGGTTACCTGATTGGGTATTTTATTTTTAAACAATTTTTATCTACTTCTATTTTAAAATGCGACGAAACCAATATTTTCTGCTATTAGAAGCCCGCTTTAAAGAAAGAAACAGGATTCCGCATATTCTTTATTGTCTTTAAATAAAGCTATAATAAACAATCTAATATGGATAATATTCGAGTATGCTTTGTGGTGTGAGACTCGTTAGTGAATAAAGGTTTTAAAATTAAATTCGATATTACAGAAAACACTTGTCCACACAATGATACTATAAGGCAGGCGAGTTCGTGAACGGAAGTTTGCGTCTCCAGCGCCATCTATTTCGCGTTTCATGCAATTCTCTTGTTTTAGAGGAAACTAAACGACAGCCGAGATTTTGTAACCATTTTGGTTTGGGACATCGCCAAGTATTTAAAGTAGCACTTATTCATGTTATTCGATGGTATATTAATGCCTATAAGATGTGGTGTAAAACTGTACTTTATTACACGATATTAAATTGGAATTAGCAGTTTCCTTTGATTACGCTCGTAGTTTACTAGTTTTGTCGAGTCGTTTAATGTAGTAGTTTAATTACTTTCATAGACAAGATTAGTAATAAATACTTAATAGGTAATAAATGTTTAACATAAAAATGCTGTCATTTTTCCTAACAAAATTTTGTACTCGATAAAGCTTTTAATAACAAAAGAGAGATTATACAAACTCTACATCAAAGTAAAAAAGACTATATTCAATTTTGAATCCAGTTCGGCATAATGAACTCACCTGTCCGAGCACTAAATTAAAAAAAAAATCTCTTTTGCCGCCGACAATGGTCCCAAAACGTCAGGAATGTCATCAAGACAGCCCGAGATGCAATAAAACTGGAGACGTAAACAAATAAGCGTAATCTTGAATAAAAAAGTGACACCGTTGATGACTGTCCAAGTGGAGACAAATTTATCATCAAATGCATTTCTTTTAGTGTAAAGTTCACACAACTTCACACGCAATCCTATCTAATTATATTTCAACATTAAACATATAATAAAACATACAATAGTATGGTTCTGATCGGTGCTGATGCGTGCTTATAAGAGGAGTCACCATCTTTAGGTTCATTTTCACGTTCCATGTTAAGGTGTCTCGTTAAGCTGTCCTCAGCAGCTCTATTTTAGAGGGAGACGAAAAGCTTTTAAAATTATCTTGTGCGAATGTCGAACAAAATGAAAAACCGCGACTTTTTAAACTTATTTAAACTTATTTACAATTTTAACCTAAATTTATGGTGGGCCACACGGTGTTAAAATTCTTTGTTGAAAATTCTCTACATTACTTATGTAGATAAGTAAAAAATGCTGTTTAAAGTGAGATTTTGTACATTACAGTGACATTTTTCGAAAAAAATTGTTATGTATACTGTGATCAGTAAAAAAAGGCCGATCCGATAAAAATAGTAACAACTATTTTTATCTTTTTTCCTAAGTGGTTAAGGCATAAAGTTAACGCGAGGGAAAAGAAGATTTTTTTTTAATTTCATTTCTTTAAACAATATTTTCTCGGTCTTATGTTTCTTTCACAAGCGTTTTTTCAGCTAACGGCGGCAGTACAGTTTAACGGCTTAACGAGCAATTACGTCAACACATAAAATTATAAAGCACGTTGTAACCAAAACTCTCAAGGCTCCAAAATGTTCCCCCAGAGCTATGTCCTCCAAGCAAATTCTTCATCAATGATCATAATGTGGTAAAACAAAAATAAATCCGAAAACTGGTCTAGAGATTTACCGAGCCGCCCAGCGATGGTTATCTTTCGTAATTAATTCTTGCGCTTAACATTTACCTATCTCTCAATTTTGTGGCTTGGATGCGGAGATTTTATCCACTGACCGTGATGCGGACATTCACTGTTGTTTGAACTTCATATGAGATTCTGTCATTCTAAAACTTGATTTGAAGTTAAAAAAAGTAAGCACTCCTAAATGAAAACATTTTGCATTCTTAGCTACTAAATACATTAAACTTTAAAATCATGGGTAGGTACATTAACGTATTCTGTAGCAAAAAACATATTTTAGAAGTTCTAGAAGAGTTCGTTTTCTTCTTATAACAATTGTGCTGTCATTTGAACAGTCGATTTTTATTGTAGCCAGAGACAAGCTCCTTTATCTACATTTTTGTGTATATAACCGTGACATCTTCATGAATAGGACATACAGGAAGGCAAGTTCGATTCATCGTTGATATCATATAGACTCAACAGTAATGATTGGGCTCTAGAGAGATTCCAATAATTTATAGAAAAAAGCACACTACAGACTTTGGACAGCCTTATCATAAGTAGTATAGAGTCGAATCAAAATTTTAATTTTAAAGGCAGAAGTGCTCTTGTCTGTTTATACATGGCTGTGTTTGTTATTCGAGCGATTCTCCTATTTTTTAGACTTTTGACTGCCTTATCAAAAATGGTATAGAGTTGCATTTAAATCTTAATCATCTTTTAAGAAGACGTGTTGATGTTCGTCCATACACAATCATGTTCTTCGAGCGACATCGGTCTGTATCACCACAATAATAACAATTCTGTGTTCATTGATTCTCCGACAGAGTGGTTCAAACCGGCCTATGGCTTTTTTAGCTCTTATGTTCTGCGTATTACGATTCATTTTAAACTATATATCTACTTTCAACTAGGTGTGCACTTTATTTAACTCAAGTGATTTACACTTGACAAACTTGTAGGGGTTGTTTGCTCTTTGTAAATTAATTTTGTACATTTTTATAATTTACAATATATCATCTTCAAATATCATAAATCGAGGTCTGGATTGGTAGTCACCGGCCAGTGCTATCATGGATTTTTGTCATCCAAGTAAACAGCTGTATGAATGCCTTTAGTTGTATTAAACTCTACTACTTATAGTATTTCAAAAGAGATCATATTTTTTAATGAAAAGTGCAGCTTGTCAATCTTGTAGTTATTTAAAAGTACAATGTTCCACCACCTTAGTGCTGTGTCGTCAGCTCATTAACTTATTTCATGGTAAATAACGACGTTTCCTCAATACTCAAATTTAATATTTTGCAAAGTTATGTCTAAATGGAACTTGTTTATTGCCGTGGTTTTGTCTTTCTCGACATCGTTTAAATGTGCCAACCGCACCTAATGCTACATTCTCTTCACACACGTGAATGGCGAAGGAAAAGCTTTTGAGGTACTAAGAGTTCACGCAGATCTTGCTATGTTCAGTGGTTGGAATGCCTAGATTAGAGTTGAACCCAATTTGAAAGTATGGAAAGACGAAATTTTGACTTGACACGTCTGAAAAGGTAATTCCTATTTCAGAATGTAGTTACTTTTTATAATATTTGCAAAGCGACCTTATCTATATTTGTAAAGGGACGTGATCATAAGACCTGTGAAGGGTTGTTTGATAAAACAAATGCACGTGGTTTAGTTTCGAAAAAATAGTTTCATTTCCGAATGCGAAAACTTAAGGACTTGAAACTTTTTACAATTTTTCCATAATGGCCGAATGGTTATCACGCTGGTCTGCCATGCAGAAGTCCCAATTTCGATTCTCGGGCCGGGAGAAATATTTGTGTGGCCTACAGTTATTAAATTTTCTCTCGTGAGTTTTAATTAGTGGATGTCTATGTGATATCGTTCTATATATTTGACTGGAATATAAATGATAATAATTATTAACAAACAAACGCAATTTTAGATAGTTATTAACAAAATATAATATTTAGCAAACACGTATTAATTAAATATGAAGTAATTAGACGTGTAGGCGACCGATGCGCTTGCAACACGGACACGGTACGTTTCTACATTTCAACGTTTCCACGTTGAACCACATTTATCAGTGTTCTTGTCTGTTTTAAATATTTCGTAACATTGCTATTGGGCCAACGTAACGACCTATGGCATCTTAACTCCTTTAATAAACATGTCACCATTGTTGCTAAGAAGAATGTTTTTTGTTTCCTCTTTTCCACAGACGTGTATTCTGTGCTCTTTTCAAAAGTATACTTACTATCTACAGCCGCTAGGGTAGTGTCAACGGAAAATGGGCTTTGTTACCACGCCTCGTGTATGAACATGTAAAACTCTGGTATGTTGAAAGAGGGCAGCTAACAAATTTCTATAATTGGCAGTTCACAATCTCTAATAGAATAAGCGGAAATAAAACGACTGTCAATTTGTTTAACGGTGTACAAACTAGTAAAAATTGTTCACCTGATGTGAATTAGTTACTGTAGTAGTATAATGGAAGAACGGTTGCTTCTCAATTGCGAGAGTGACGGTTCCTACGGTATGTACGGTATGTACCTACTATTAAGACTATTAGGCAGTTGATGAAACTTTGAAGAAGGTTTGCAATTCCTGGAAAACGTGTAAAGTCCCAATTTGGATTGGGTCTAAACGTGGCGGAATTTGGGACTTATACTCAACCTCTTGGTATTGTTAATGATTGTTCTGAGTAAAGAAATAAATTTCTCACAGATAATTGAAAACCAAAAGCACATAGAAATATTCGTAAGGTCTGTTGGTTCGTTCCGTGGCTTAATTGGAAGAGCAATTGACACGGATTGCCTGATGGTGCTGGTTCGAATCCAGCCGAATCGAATGAGTTTTACCATGTGTTTGATATTTGTTATTTATAATTATAACAACCTAGTGTTCACAAAAAAGAATTGAATATCTAAAACATCGCGACATTCGATAAACTCAAAAATAATGGTAACAACGATGGGAATGTACCTAGTAATGTTTAAATATATCTCATAGGTGAATTTTATGGAACAGGTAACCTTGATGCTTTATGTTCCAAATACCGGCGAATAAGATAATAAATGATTTGATTGGACAGCCGTCCTATTATATTTTGGGATCTCTTACGCGCGAGTGACGCTTGACAACGTCATCCACTGATTCACCTATGAGAGAGTGACTAAACTAGATGTAATGTTTTGTAATAAACTACCGTTATTGTAATATTTCGTAGCTAATGTATGAATGTGGAGGGATAGAGATTTATGGGGAAAGGAAGGCCAAATAAAAAATGGATGAATTGTGAGAAAGATGACATGGGTAAGAAAGGTGTGAGTATGGAAATGATGGCTGATAGGTGAGAGTGGAAGAAAAATGCATGTTATACCCCACCTATATAAGAGAGAAATACAAATATTTCTCCCGGCCCGAGAATCGAACCCGAGACCTCTGCGTGGCAAACCAGCATTTCAACCGTTCGTCCACGGAGACAGTTACCTATATAATATTTTTTTTTCAAATCAATCAAATAGTTAAAAAGAAAGAATAATCAAACAAATCAACGTATTGGGCTCATCAGTCGTGACTATTGGAGTACCTGTAAAGGGCCCGAAACGTTGGTTTAACATACGCGATTTAGATCAGAAAAAATGGTTTAATTTCCATTTTGTTACAATCGAATCAAAGGTAACACTTTAAATCAAATATAAATTATGGTGACAAATAATTCTGACTTATACCATTTGGAATTACGGATCTTAAGGAAATGTGTCAGAATACCGGAGTCAATTGTTTTTCTCATCGTTTGTAGTAGATGAGTCAGATTCACGAGAATCGCGAGTTTGCATTGTGTTAGATAAATTGCCTTATTGACTCATTTGTAGAAAAAAAAAATCCGTATGTGCAGAAAACCGTTTTATGTTAATGAATCGATATTATTATAAATAATGCTAAAAAGCGGGCTGTATAGTTTATACAAACTGATTTTTTTTGTTAATGTGTGATGGCTATACTAATGATGTAGGTAAGGTTGAATTTTCAACACCAATTTTACTTTATATCGTCGTCTTAGAGTGAATACCTTGTACGTGATTTCTATGTAATTTTTCACGATGAATATAAAAATGTGGTGTAAAATGTAGTAAACGCAATAATGTTTCTAGTTAGCATTTTAACTAGTTCAGTTTCGCCTCTTTCAGATAGATACTATATTACTTTAATAATATATTTAATCAATAAGTTTATAATTATGTTGTTCTCCAACAAAAATCAATGAAAACAAACTATGTGAAAACGCGTTTTCACTCTAAGGTGACGATGTGTGGTGCTGGTACCTGAGTTCACACTATGATAAGCCATTCAGACATTTCAATCAGTGTAACTGCTTACATTTTTCTGACTAGAAACAACATTAATGTTGACAAAACTTTTATATTATTGTCCATACTTCGTAGGTACTATTATAACTACTTATTTGTGCATAGTAAGTTTCATGTATAATCACAAAGAGTAATTGAACTATATCTTTTTCTTAGTGGTTTTAAATAATATTTTTATTGAAATACTCACTGTTACAAGCAGCACTAAAGTCATCTTCTTTAGGCATGCTGTAATTCCCACTTTCCTCAATGGAAGGGTAGGGGACAAATCGTGGCAGCATAAGCGAAGATTGCGCGGGAGAAGGAGATCGTTGCTTGCTCAGGTTGAGGGGAGTATCTGGGTCGGGGGGTGGGGGGCTGCGTGCGCTTGCTGTCAGCTGGGCGAGTTGCGCAGTCGCCGGCCAAGGAGAGGACACCTGTAAGAAAAGTAATTGGTATAAATATTAAGAACTACCGTAAAGTACTGGGCCGCTTGGAGAAATTTTCATAAATTTCTCACAAGTGGTGCTGACGGCAAAAAACTAATACAAGAATCTGCAACGAACATAATATAAAGAAATTTGTAAGATCTCCGTACTTGGTCTGTAGCTCAGTCGGTAAGAGCGGTGGCCCCGGTGTGGCAACAGACTGGTTCAGATACATCGAAAGAATTTCTGTTTGTGTTGTTCGATTTTTGTATCAATAATAATAACTAACTGGTATAAAAGTCTACATTGTATAAAGGCTACCGGCAGTGACGCCTACGCTGGCTGACTTTGAAATTAAACCTTTATTTCCGACAACTCGTCCATTATCTAAATTAACCTTCTTAGTCAAGATCAAAAATTTATAGAGAATAAACGTAGATTTACTCGTAAGTAAATAAATCAATTTATAAGATACAAGATTGCATTATAAATTTACTGTTGTGTAAACGAATCAACATTTTCATTTTATGAGTAATATGTGAAACGTTGGTTATAAACCAAGGGACATATGCTCACATCATCATGTATCCTAGAAAGTGTATATTCATTATTGCCTTGAAAGAGTCCAAGTTGTTTTAACGAGGAATAGATCAGCAAGCCGTGATCGCCTAATGGTTTGACCTACCGTCTCTCAAGCAGAGCCTGTGGGTTCGAATCCAGATTCGCACCTCTGAGTTTCTTAGAGTTTTTTTTGTGAAATTTAATTTCAAATTGATCATGAACTTTTCGGTGAAGAAAACATCATCATCATCATCAGCCCGCATTAGGCCAGCAAAGTGGCGGATTGTGGCCTAAATCCTCGTCTGCGAGAAGATCCGTGGCCAGCGGTGTGACGTATAATTCGGTTGATGACTTCAAAATAAGGGTGAGACCCCAGTCTTGTTCCCCAAAGACTGACATAAGAATATCAACTTATGTAACCATTTCATCACAAATTGAGCGGAAATTGCATCAAACTATTGGAAGTAGGTAACATCAGTAAAAATCTAATGGTTTAAACTTAACCGTAAGACGAACTAATCAACATTTTACATAACATCCTTTCTAGTTCTTCTGAACAACTTTCTTTTTTCAACTATGCATTATTTTAAGATCACGCTAGGTTTTTGACAGGACTTCAACGACCTAAACATAACGTAATATTCTTCTAACGAAGAAAGCGCCTTAAAACTTATCTTTAATACTGATGACAAAAATATTAATATAACGCGCCAGATAATTCTTTTTGAATTACTTGTACTATAGAACAATGGAATGACCGGTAACTATGCAGAATGCTACTATTTGTCCTACCGGGGAAGGAAGCCAGGACCCACAGTGTTAATTGTAGGTAAACTGAGGTCGTCTTCGCTTTCATAATTAATAAACAATTTGCACTTTATAAAATAAAGGTGTTAATGAAACAGTCAAACGGTTCACTTGATGGAAAATTGTAACGGGATATGTACGAAATGTGCAGTAGAGCTCCTTGTGAAAGAGTTGTCCAGGGTAGTACTGCCACCTTACCTATTTCTGCCGCCAAGCGGTAACGTTAGCATTACTGCGTTCCGGTTTTGAAGGGTAAGGTTGCTAGTGAAATTACAGGCATATGGGACTTGTCAACTTGTGTCTCAGAATGACGTGACGTGGCAGTGCCTCAGATCTTTGTGATTTAAAGTTTTGAGTGGCACTACAACTGTTATGAATAGGTGTGTCGCTTACCACCAGGTGCAGGTCGTGGTATGGACGACAATCCTTTTCTGTACGTCTGGCGCACTCTGAGAAATCCTTGCACCACGATGACAAAGCATTATCTACCTATATTATAAGTGTATGCCATCGATACGATAAGAAGGACATGCCTGAAATCAGTAGTAGCTACTTTGATGGGATAGGCATATACCGAAAATCTTCCACCAGAAAACTTGAATTTTTAATTTGAGCTTCAATTTTTATCTACTTAACGCCAAATCTATATGTTGTAGCGGCATCTATATTATGTGCAATATTTTAGCTTTTCTATGTGATACGAATATATACGCATTGAATGGATAATACTGTGACGGTGCGACCTCCTTCCATCGTCATTCCGCCTTTTATCATGTTTTTTCCGGTTCCTGGCCACTTGTTTTAAAATTTTGAATTGTTCCTTAAATTCCGTTGCCCGTCATCTCACTTTGTTTTCGTTACGTCGTCACTCTCTGCTCAATCGCTGCAGTGCTGCTCGTCTAATTTTGATCCTTTTACCAGTTCCAAACCGAAATCATGTGCCAATTTTAATATCTATCTAACCTAGTAATATTGTACAACTCGACCCTTTCGCTATAAGTTTGTCTCACGTTTAAGTAGGGAGTGTTTTGTGGCGTTGTACCTGTTTTTTATATCCTATCCTTCCTTTTTTTCTTTCGACTTTACTTACGAAATAAATTATGTGGACCGGAGTATTCTATTTTATTGCCGTGATCCTGTTCACGGCACATTAACGGTTTACAACTTCTTCAATACTTCCATATGAAATCCTAGAATTATTGTATTGTAGTTTATTCTATATTTTGGACGTGTATCATATAGCTACTACGGTAGTGCATTTAGAGCAAGAGTTTTTCAATTGTAATTAAAAATATAACTATTTTATTCTGATTTTTGGTCTTCTATATTTAATCATTCAGGGATTTCGAGATATATGCAGAGTTTAGGTATATACATACCGCCTGTTCAGTAGACGGTCTCGGGTTCAAATCCGGGCTTGCACCTCTGAGTTTTTCGGAATTTAAGTGCGAAATTTAATTTGAAATTTACCGTGAGCTTTTCGGCGAAGGAAAACATTCCCTAATGTACTCATTAGGGGATGTTTTCCTTCACTTCACTGCAGGTTTACTAACCTGCACACATCTGCAAAAGAAATTTAATGATGCGTGGATGTGGGCCCGTGTGGGAACTACTACCCAAACTCTCTCTTTGCGGTAGGAAGCAGTGGTAATAATTAGCCAATATATTCACATAGGCCAATTATTACTTATGATTTGTATTAATTACTTTATTTTGCAAAGCTAACGTATCCTATTCTAAACTATATAATTTATTTTATGAAATCATCAGATAACAAATAGATAAAATCTATTTAATATCTTGGCGTGGTAGGCCCATATCATAAAACTTTATTAAGTCGAATTTTTGACAATGATTATTCTTTCTTATTTCTGTTCATATAAACACTGTCATTTATTGTACATTGCTACAAACTAATCAATGCTTTTAAAAAAAATATTCGACATATGTTTTTTCACAAACTAAAAGCGGCGCAATCGACTGCAGTAGTAACTTGGTTTCTCTATACACAGGATGTTACCTAACGTTTGAATGGACATCTAATCTAATGTTGGTAAATCAATTTCTTTATTACATCTTCTTTTTTTTAGGTCAATAGACTGGAAAGTCTTGTTTTAAACTAATTAACGTTTAAACGTGTGGAGATGAGCAATTTCTCTTTTTAAATTTATGTGTATTATCACATTAAGTTACTTTATAAAATGATTGCAGCGTGATATGTAATTTACTCGTGGTAGATTGCAATTTCTACTTTTTAATTTGATATTTTTTTTAATTTGACTGAAAGTTGCTCAAAAATTTTTACTAAATACTTGCAACAATCCAAGTTAATATTATGCGAAAGTAGCACTGATTGTTACGTTTTCACGCCTAAACCACTGGATCAAATTTGGTTAATTTTGGTGTAGAGATAGATGGGACCTAGGATAAGTACTTAGGCTACTTTTTGTCACAAAAATAAATCTAAAAGGGAGTGAAAGTTTGTATGGGGAACCAATCATTTCTCAAGTAAGGGATCTAATAATTAATATTTATGCCTTTTGTATCTACAATGTTTCTACGTTTCTGATCAGTTACTCTTCAAGTTAAAAAAGGAAGTCGCGGGCACCAGCTAATCATATATACATATATGGGTCTTCATATACCTATACATATATATATACACACATATATATACCTATATAGCACTTTATGTTTTGAACTGTAGGTGATGCGATCTCGTTCTATCGTTTAGTTATATCCGTATAATAAAAAAGGTAGATATACGACGACGACATACGAGTACTAGTGGAGAATGTACACGCTTTGGAGCTAAATAAAGCATGTCACCCATCGGCGGTATATGGCATAGCAAGGGATTCTACGGCATTTCTACATGCAAGCGAACACCGACGGCATTATAGGTACCGCGATATCCTTAGGCATGCCGAAGTATATCGTCACGACATCGTGCTCGAGCCTAGCCTCTCTTCAGATTAGTCGTAACGTTGCAAGAATAGAAAGCTGCTGATCTTGCTGAAGAACAAAAGATAACCATATTCCAAGAAGAAGATTTTGGATGAATAATTTTCGGAGACATACCGAAACACTCCGAAGGCAGTCGAATTATCCCGAAGGCTGCCAGCTCGGTATCCCTAAGCTGGTAAGCTTTGTTTTTGTAGCTATGACTATTGTAACCAAAATTTCAACTATAATGTTATAATTTAAGGTATGTTACTATTCGTCACCTAAAAATTCCTTGCCGTGCTGTCCGGCCAGTGGGTGTCGAGCCTTAGAGACGTCTTGAAAGTAGCGACAAAAATGTCATATACGATAGTTAATGGTGCGATGTAACTAAATACTCACATTCTGCGGCGTCTGCGGTGGTTGTGGCCGCATCTGCTCAAGCAAGGGTAGCAGTGCCAGCGGAGGGCCAGGGTACAACCCATGCTGTCCTCGCCGCACCAGCTCCTGCCGTCGTAGTTGCTCCTGTTGCAGTCTTTGCAGCTCCAATTCTGCCGTTACGTTGCCAATGTTCTGCAACAATAGAGATAGAGTTTGTTCTTAAAATATTTATATACACTTATAGAAAAATTGGAGTATGTGGTAATTAATTTCGTGTACATTGAAAATTAAACTATTTTATTCGGATTTTAAATTAACGAATGTTCGTTTTTACTTTTCGAATAAATCGATGTTTCGGGCTCTTTATAGGTCCGGTGGTCACTGGGCTGACTCGGCTGTTTAAAAAAAAAACAAAGGTACGCATTTCGAAATCTGGAAAATATAGTTTCATTTCCAATTTTATCTCAGGGTATTTGATACAACAAAAGAAAGATGAAAGAGAAAAATATCTAATCTATCTAAAAAATATCACAAATTTTAAAAGAAATATACAGAGAAGACAATGATAGCAGTTGATAATTTAAAGCCAGCTTTGCCGACAGGAGTCGATAAAATGCAACACAAGTTTAGCTTTCAGTTGCAAAGGGATGCAAACGTTGTGTACAAACACGACGAACGACACTGTCAAACCATTTGTACAATAGTACCTAATGGAATGGTTCGACTTAATAACTTTATTAATATATCTAAAAGTATTATGGAGCATTTAGATGTTTTAATAACTGTAGACCATAAAAAATAAGATTAACAGTTCAACAAACACAAGGAAAGTCGAACGTTGACGTCAATGGAAAGCGTCATCAACATTTTTACAATCATATAAATTCAACATCTTACAAACGAATCAAATCGAAATTATAATAACGATGACACGATTAATGAATTTCATTCATCGGTCTATAAATCATTAAGTTGGCAAATGGGAACTAAAGCGTTCATGGTAGATGCTGTCATTAAATAGCATTCAAATCATTAACTTAAGCTTTTATTGTAGGTTACTGAATTAATTCAGACTTGTTTGAGCAATAGCCCACAGCTGTCTGTTGAATATCACATAGCAGTCCACTAAATAAGTCTAAACGACATTTGAGGAATATTCTCGATCGATTTAAACATTATTATCAAGATATTTGGAAGATTTTTTCAATCAGTGCTTAAATAAATAAAAATCAAATATAAGTCCATTCGAAAAAATTCTAAAGGAGTCTTAATTGAATCCGTGCCGCCGAATTCACTGAGTTCACGTTTTTCATACAACAGTTACGAGCTATTTAACAAAATAACAAGTGTAGGTAAACGGCGAAATGAAATGAAAACAGAAAGAACGCTGCCACTATAACCGGTCCACAAATTGCGGTACTTTCAACAATAACTCTTAACAAGAGATGCTTTCTGCGCGAAATTAGTTCCTCACAATATATTACCACATTTAAACTCCATTCACGACAAAGAATAAACTAAAACGTGAGCACAAGTCAACAAGGAGGACGTTCACTAAATCTCCAGCCAGCCATAAAGCAAATTCCAAAAAAAAAGAAACCCGATTAATTGCCAAGGAGTCGTGACGAATTCCTCTATATACATTTTATCGGCTCTTTATTTAGATCGCATTGAATTGTTAATGGTTGTAGGGAGTAAGACATTATAAAGTGATGAAATTGAACGACGATTCACGTTTCCGGACGACTTAAAACGTTTCATGCAAATATGAAGGAAGATTTCAAATTTAAAAAGTATCGTGCAAATGTGCATATTTGTGCTTCTGACAGTGCGATACATTTTAAGTCAAAAATGTTCGTCGAAGATAAAAGCGAAGCGCTAATGGAAGACAAAAGCGAATGCATAAATAAACATGACATAATCGCAGAAATAAAAAGAGCGTGCGGTGCGGCGGTAATAGGTCCTGCCGATACGAGCGCCACTGTAATCGACCAAGTTTTTCCATCGGCCTGACAAATTGCCGTCATAACCGAACGGATTAAACTTTTTATTAAAAACAACAAACTGAGCATAATGTATGGGCGTAATCGGCAAGGGACAGATGTTCCCGAATAACGTACGCGATTTATCTAATGTAAAAAGACTTTTATTTAATAGCTCTGCGGATATGTCCTAGCAATTGGCGCTTATATTTTACAGCCGACCGTCGTTTTGGCATTTCAACCGCATTTTGATAGCATTATTAATGTTAAAGATGATATAAAAATGTGATTTTTGATAAAGGACGCCAGCTGTGGTGTAACAGATTATTTGTTCTTGCACAGGTGGGTTCTCCCTCGCAAATATATCATAGATATGAAAGAATACACGTGGATGTACAAGAAACATACAAGATGAAGTGTTGTAATTAGATAGAGGTAGACAAAGAAAGCTTTGCCAATAGAAACAGTTAGGCGTGATTTGGCGACGTCATTGCAGGACGTACGCTCACCGATGTCCGATCAATAAAGATGGCTGCCGATATAAATAGTCAGAGAAAACATGCACCTCCTGTTGTCGAGATCTTAGATATAAAACGGTAATACGTACAAAGAAAGATGAAGCAGTAATCCCGGAGATTACAAAATCTCAAGATGAATAAATCATAATTAAGCTATTGTCACGGAAGAAACACATGAGATTATAGATAGAGATGAAAGCATCACTAAGGGAGACATCAAAAATATATTAAACCCCCAGAATGTGTAGTAGGAACTGACAAAGAGATCAGAAGTGACGACCGGACATGCCGTGACATAATTTATACAGTGGAGCCGATATCAAAATAGTGTAATCCCACTTATTTAGAGTGGTGACGCAAACGATTTTCATCTTTATGAAGAAAGGCACTGAGATTAAAGTGTGCAGTTTTTTTAGGCTATATTAAGACTATTGTAACGTGATCTCTGACAGAATTAGTGAATGTTGTAACGTGATCTCTTGACAGAATTATTGCCTATTTTGGATGACATAAAAATTTGGCAATTTGCGAAGTTAACCAATATACATAAGTTCAAGTAATTTTATCAAGATAATTTCTTTTCGCAACTTTTTCGCAAGTAATAAAAGGACGTATCTATAACCTGAAGAAAAAATTTGGTGAATAAATTGGAAATTTTTCTACTGGTCAATCTACAAGAAACTGTAACAAACATATGCTATTATAATATAGATTGACAATATCGATTATAAGAGAATTAGGATTAATAATTTACTGATTTCCTAATGCTTTTGAATGTGCTGTTATGTCACCTTAACATGTTACTTCTACTCACTTTGATTTAATTGTCAGAGATCAAATTATAGTAGACATTATATAGTTGAAAATATACTGAAACTCGTATAATGAAACCGACGTCACATTGACGTAAGAGATGCAAGATCTTGGGTGAAATCATAATATTTACTGTCACTGGGACGACATGTTCTCATTTCCAGATAGATTATTCTAGTGAAGGAATTTAGGTTTTCGTGACATAGATTTAAATTCGTCAATTTAGATATGTTGTTTTAATTATTATTTTGTAATAGGGTTGTAGGGATTAATAGTATTTTAAGATTAAAATTGATTTAATGCGAACAATTCTTCGTTTTGATTTTATTTTATAATAATTTTAGATAAAGAACAGAATCAAAATTGACGGTTATGGTAGAGCTCAGTTTAGAAAGCATATTGGTTACAAGTAACTACTATATTACAGCACATCCATACCTATACCAATCGTTCTTTTACCAATATAAAAGATATTTTTGTCCATTAGAATCTATAAATTTGCTGGTACTGTCCCACTTAAATAGAGGAGAGAGCTTAACGCATGTTGCTAATGAAAAAATATCTAATAGAATTTCGCTATATTTTTAAATTCTGAAATAACTCGTTACTATTTCATTAAGCACCTTATAGACTGTGTTTTTTGTTCCCCTAAATACTATACACAACTCATGTTATTTACAAAGCGTGGTTAAGAGAAAATAACAGCAAACACACTGCGCTAGTAATTGGCAATGGCATCGACTGCATTCACACTGTTATCCGCTTACATTTGATATGGAGTTGCGTGCAGAAGTAATGCAGTTCATGTGATTACAATTTAAATTTAAACAAATTAAATTGCAAAATTTAAAGTTTGCAGTTAAAAAAGTGACAATTTGTATATCTTAATGCGTTGTTGACCGCACAAAAGAAGATAACCATTCAAATTATATTATTAAAACTTTGCAGTTGTTCTACAGGGAATAAAAAACAAAAAATGTCAATTTTAAAATTTTATTAATAAATTAAAATTTGCATAATGCGGTGCAAAGGGCTCAAAGAGCCGTAGTGTTGTTGGAAAGGGATTTACGGACGCGATGATATATCAAAATGAATCACTAATGTAGAATCCTTGGACAGGGAGTGTAGTTGAGACTTCATTGTGTTGTTTTTTTGTAAGCATAATTATTTTTATGAAATATCAGCAATTGTCTTTTGCACCACCTTCAAGAAAGGGAACTATTTCTTTAGTTGCAAAAAGAACATATGTATTGAAGTGACATGTTATTTAAAGTATAGTTGTAGAAAAGTATAATGGAAAGAAAGGTAGATGCAGAGATCTCGTCTTTGTCTTTACACCACCAGCACGTCCACCTTATTTTATGGCTCAAAACGTTTGCCTATTCAATAGATTGAAATTGCATTCGTTTTTGATCCGATATTTAACTGTATGCAACAGTAATATATGTTCAAATACTTTCATATATGGTCAAATACTTTCAAATTTTGTATCAGCATATAGAGTCGTAATTGTGACATCACCACCTTATTAATTGGAAATGAAATATACTTTCCGGAACTTGAAGAATTCTCAAAAAAATTAAAAAATCAAATTCCTTGGTTATCACACTAAGGAAATAAGACAAATCTGCCGCATGTCAAGCGAGCTGTGTACAAAACACTACGGAGCATGGCCAGTAGCGGCGTTAAGTAGCGAAGAATAGAGAAAGGAAGGAGAAGAAAGGAAGTATAATATTATCTTGTATTATTATACTAGTCTATAAGTGTTGTCTTGTTTTTGTATTAGACCTTCATAATACAGGCCACCGCGTCGACAATTAAAAAAAAATGCATAGGTTTATTGTAGAATTAATTTTTGTAATCCGTATCGACCCTATTC